TTGGCAGTAGGAAACACATAGACTATTATGGAGATTGATTTTGGAATTCAGATGCACTCTTATTGATTGTGCTTGGCTGTACATGTACATATCCTTCAAGATGTATCATGGGGGTGTTGCAACCTAGAAGACACAAATTTGACTAACAAGTTATAAGTACATGAGTCCAAAAATTATGGAAAAGTAAAAGAAAAGATTCTTTCATTGTTTTACAAACCCTCCCCCAGGTCCCCTCCACCATGCAGCCCTCGCTCTAGTCTCCTGTGATGACAGAAATACCCAGTTACATCTCTCTTTTAGACGATTCTCTCCCTCCTCTGCTTCAGTGCAGTATACATTATTGAACCCATCTTACTCAGTGTCTCCCTAACCCCAAGGACAGTCCCATTCTACAACAGTGGCATCATGTAATATTTGTCCTTTTGTGACTGGGATATTTCACTCAGCATAATGTTCTCCAGAGTCAACCATTTTGAATAATATTGCATGAGTTCCTTGTTTTTCAATGCAGCATAGTATTCCATTGTGCGAATATACCACAGCTTCTCTAGCCATTCGTTTGTTGATGGGCACTTAGGTTGTTTCCAACTCCTTGCTTGGATGTCAGCTATGGTCTCTTCAGGGTATATTCCCAGTAGTGGAATTGCTGGGTCAAATGGTATCTCTATTTGCAACTTTTTGAGAAAGCGCCATACTGCTTTCCACAGGGGTTGCACCATTTTACACTCCCACCAACAGTGAATCAGGGTTCCAGTTTCTCCACAACCTCGCCAGCATTTGTTGCTTGCTGTTCTGTTAAATTTTGCTATTTTGACTGGGGTGAAATGATATCTCATAGTTGTTTTAATTTGCATCTCTCTTAGGGCTAGGGATTTTGAGCATTTCTTCATGTGTTTGTTAGCCATCTGAATGTCGTCTTCGGTGAAGTGCCTGTTCATATCCTGTGCCCATTTTTCTATTGGATTATTTACCTTTATCTTGTTGTGGTGCTCAAGTATTTCATAAATTCTGGATATAAGTCCCTTATCTGATATGTTATTACCGAATACTTTTTCCCAGTCAGTGGCTTCCCTTTTTACCCTACTGGAGAAGTTTTTGGATGTGCATAGGGATTTGAGTCTTAGAAGGTCCCATTCATCTATGTTATCTTCTCCTGGTTGTAGGTTTTCCAGGATACTGGGAAGACTGTTTATGTTGTGGATTAGGACTTCTAGTGTTGTTCCTAGCTTTTCTGTAATGAATTTCATAGTCCTTGTAAACCAGGGTCTTGACAGGTTCCCTGGTTCTGGGCTGTGCCCTTGATTCCTTGGCTTGTACAGGAACTGAACCTGGTGGTGTTCTTCCTCTGTGTGGGGATAAGGAGAGAGAGAGGAGAGAGAGAGAGAGAGAGAGAGAGAGAGAGAGAGAGAGATGGGGTATGATGAGTATGGGTGTGGATTAGATGGGCGAGTGTGGGGTTGTGGTATAGGTAAAGGGGTGACTAGGGTGTGTGACTGTAGAGGGGATGGGTATGTCTGTGTGTGGTGTATAGATTGTGTGTGGTGTGTGGGGTGGGTCGTGGATGCAGTAGGAGTTGGGGGGTACCGGTGGTGGATAGATGGCCGAGTAACTAGATTGTGGGTAGGTGTGTGTGGTTGGGTGGGGGTGGGGACAGTGAGTGAGGTCCATGGGGATATGTGAGTGCGGGGTGGGGTGTCTCTCTTCTGTTCTCTGTATAACTCAGAAGTGACTTGCGCTGGGATCCACTCTCCATGAGATGAACAGAACTGACTGATTACGTTAAACCAAAACCTATTGCCATCAAGTCAGTTCCAGTTCATTCACTGCACCCACGTGGTTTCCAAGGTTGAATTGCCAAGCTTTTCTTCCGAGGCCCCTCTGGGTGAGGTCAAGCCACACGCCTTTCCATTAGTGGTCATAGGCTTAGGTGTACGCATTGCCGGGGACCCCTCACCTTGGCTGGAAAGGTGACATTGCATGGCGTTATGTCACGTTACAATTATATTACATGAATAAGTTTTTTTTAAATGACATGTACCTTCTATGTTTGTTTGCCAGCTATCCCTCCAACTCCCAGAAGGTACTTTTTGAAGCATTGCTAACCTCAATTTTAATCTTTTTTTTTCTTTCCCACGCATTGCTGTAAAAGAAAAAAAAGACAGAAAACCAACACACTGGCATAGCACACTTACAAAAATACCTCCTGAAGGGAGGGAGCAGCTGGCAAACAAGCCTGGAAGGCTCTTGGCACACAGATGATGGCACGAATGCAGGTTCTGTGACACTACGTTGCCTTCTGGGAGCTCTTTACATTGTGTGATATTACATTCTGTGAAGTCACTACATGATATTCCGAACGTAATCGGCTGTTGCCACAGCCTCCCGATTTACCCACACAGCTGGGAGCCACGGCCCGGGCACGCTGGCATGAGGAACCATCACGTGCCGTTACGTTTTGACACGTTTTGTCCCCCCCGCCCCCAAATCTTTCCAGCTCTCTGTGAATATACAAGCCAGAAAGGGTATCAATTGATCTTTCTCCCCTAAGAAACTTAGAACACATGGGCCTGGTGGCACAGCAGTTCAGGTGCTTAATTGGGACGTGAAAGGTGGGCAGTTGGAAGCCACCAGCAGGAGAAAGACGTGGCAGTCTGCTTCTGTAGAGAGCAGGCTTGGGAACCCTGTGGGGTGGTTCCGCTCGGCCCTGCGGGGCCTGAGTGAGGATTGGTGAGGGTTTAATATCGCTTTGCTGTTTGCCCCAGAAGGGAGCGAGTTAGACGCAGGAACTCGCATTACCCCCGGGGAGCCCTCGTCTGTAGCCTGTCAGGGTCCCCCCTCATGTGTGGGTGTGTCTGCCTGACTCCTTCCCAGAAGCTTCTAGGGCCGTGGGAATCAGATCAAAGGTGCATCTTGAGCTTTTGAAGCTGTTGCTGACTCTTCTTTCTCTGGAGAATGCTATGCAAAAAGGCTGCTAATCAAAAGGGTGATGGTTCAAGTCCTTCTTTGGAGGCACTTTGAAAGAAAGGCCTGGCTGTCCCCTTCTGAGAGATCACAGCCGTGGAAAACCGTCAGGAGCCCAGTTCTGCTCTGATACACGCGGCTCAGCCAGCGTGAGCCGGAGTCAACTCTGTGGCAGCTGAGAAAGGAGAGCTGGAGCTCCTTGAAGCTCCCAGAGCCCCAGGGGCCGTAAATGCAGACCGCCCTCGTCACCTCGCAGACACGGTGCTGTTTGCCAGCCGACGGTCTGTGACAGCCGTGCGTCAAGCCAGCCTTGTTCCCCACGAGCTGTGCTCATGTCCTGGCACCGCGCCACACTCCAGTAATTCTCACAATCCTCCAGCCTTTCTCCGTATCGCTGGCGCTGACTCTGTAGACTGTCATCGAGTATCCTCCTAACTCTCAGATGCACCGAGCAGACGCCACGTTCCTGTAACTCGCCCTGGGGGACTGAGCCCGTGGTCTGCGGTCAGCTTGGAGCCAAGCATCTTTGTTAGGCCTGTGGATAGCTGCTTCCTGAGGTGACGGTGAATGTACAGGAGAGTGACTGGGACCTGAATTAGGAGCGCTGTGCAGACAATTCAGTAAGGGAAGCAGATTGCCAGGCCTTTCTTCCGCTGCACCCCCAGTCGAGTTCTAAGCACTAACCTTTAGATGCGTAGTCTCGAATAGACCGTTTTAGATCCTGGCGTCGTTTGTGATTACGGAGCTGCAGACCCAGGAGCCTGCGCCCTCCAGTGGTTCAAATCCACCAGCTGCCCCACGAGTTGAAGGTGGACAGGCACCTCCTGGGCAGTTTGCAGCCTCCGCAGTCGGCTCTGCGTGGACGTCAGTGCGCTTTTCCTCTGCGCGCTGAGCTCAGCCCCGGTTAGAGGCCAGGGGCCCGTGGGATGATTATGCATCTCTTCCCATTTCATCTCTTCGGCCAGTGGCCGCTGCCAGGGCTCGTGCTGGGGCACGTTTGCCTTGTCTTGTCCCCTGCGTCCCGTTAGGACCCGGCTCATTCTAGCACAACCTTGTGGTGACTGACGCCGTCTTCAGAGACCCCATTTCCAAGCCAGGCCATGCTCGCAGCGTCTGGACGCCCTCCATGGCCCCCCCTTAGTCAGTCTCAGGGAGGTGACCCCTGGGCAGGGACCCCGAGAGGCAAGGCTCTGGACCTCTGCATTCCAGGTGTGCTGGCCCAGATGTCCCAGACTGCTGCCTTTGCCAGTGTCTCCTGCACCCTCAAGCCCACACCTGCAGGGACTCGGGGATGGGGCCCCTGGGACACTTAACTGGGACCACGACTGCAGAGCCCCTCGTGGGATGTGCCCAGTCAGCCTGCCCTCTGTCGGCTCCCCGGGGCCCTGTGTCCCTGAGCCCTCCCAGGCCATGCGTGTGGTTCCTTGGGGTTAGAGGACACTCAAGGGGGGGCAGGTGCTGGCTCGCTGCCCGTCACCCCTGTCCGCTGCTATGCTGCCGCCCCCGAGCCTCTGCCTCCTCCGCTCAGCTGGTGGGACCCCCACTGCTGCCACTGCTTCCCTGCTCCCACCCCCACCCCATGGGGTGCCTTCATGAGGGTAGGGGTGGGGAGGATGAGAAGGGACAGGAGAGGAGGTGGGTGGGTCAGGGGAAGAAGAGGCGGAAGGGGTGAAGTAGGGATAAGGACGGGAGCCCACAGGTGGGAGACAGGTGTGGAGGGGTGAGGTGGTAAATTATGGGGATCAGTGATGGCAGGCATGAAGTTAGGGGGGCAGGTAGAGAGGATGTGTGAAGGACCAAGAGGTGGGGAGATGAAGATGTGGGGGTGAAGTCGGAGGAGGTAGGGAGAGAGGACTGGGTGGGGTGAGGGGAGGAGAATAAGAAACAGGTGGGGGCATGGGGGGGTGGCTGGAGGGAACAAGCCCAGTGGAGTCCTTTTTCATGACAGGGGCACTGAGAAAGAGGGGCTGGGGTCTACAGTGGCCTGGGGAGCCAGTGCTGGTTCTAATTGACTCTTCTTTTCCTCCCTACCTTCCCAGATCCCTGCAGCAGCTCCGCTGAAGGGTCCCGGCCCCTCCTCATCCCCGTCGCTACCTCACCAAGCCCCTCTGGGGGACAGCCCCCATCTGCCCTCCCCACACCCCGCCCGACCTCCCTCCCGTCCACCCTCCAGACCCCACTCTCGTCCACCCTCCCAGCCCCAGAGCCTGTCTCGTCCACCCTCTGAGCCCACCCTGCATCCCTGTCCCCCACCCCAGGCCCCCCCAACTCTGCCCAGCATCTTTGTCATCCAGAACCAGCTGGGCGCCCCCTCATCTGCCAGCACCCCAGTTCCCACTGCCCCAGGCCCACCCCAGCCCCCTCTGCGCCCCCCATCCCAGCCCCCTGAAGGGCCACTGCCTCCAGCCCCCACCTCCACCACCGTGGCCTCCTCCTCCGAGACCCCCACCAGATTGCCAGCTCCCACACCACCTGACTTCCAGTTCCCACCCAGCCAGGGACCCCACAAGCCCCCCAGCCCTCCACCACCAACCCTCCACCTCGTCCCTGAGCCCACAGTGCCCCCTCCACCGCCTCCTCGGACCTTCCAGATGGTGACCACACCCTTCCCGCCTCTGCCCCAGCCGAAGGCTCTTCTCGAGAGATTTCACCAGGTAACGGAAGAAACAAGACCATCACCGAGCCCCTTCCCTCTGCAGACCCCTGTCCTGCTCCCAAGTCCAGCCAGCACCCCTCCCATGTCCTGGTTCAGTGTCCACTCCACCCTGTGCCCCCACCCCTTAACCACCTGTCTCCTCAGGTGCCGTCTGGAATCATTCTCCAGAACAAGGCCGGGGGGCCCCCTGCCACCCCGCAGACCTCCGTCAGCCTGGGGCCACTCTCGAGCCCCACTGCCTCTGTGCTGGTCAGCGGACAGGCCTCGTCCGGGACCCCCACCGCCCCCAGCCATGCCCCTGCCCCGGCACCCATGGCCAGCGCAGGTAGGAGGATGTAACCCATGCAGGAGAGAGGGGGCCGGAGGTGGGTGGCTGGGCTGGGACAGGTGGGACCGTGAACCTGGGGGTGCACACAGGATGAAAAGCAGACCATCAGCCAGGCCGCCTCCCATCGGGGCTGCTGAGCTGGTACAGCTGCCACAGCTGGGTAACGAAGAGGGAGTGGCAATGGGGCTCCCGGGGGGGGCACGCGTGCCATTTCACATGCCAGTGAGCCCTGAGCCCTGTCTGCCCCGCCCCACCCCAGGCCTGCCTCCTCTGCTTCCTACCGAGGGCAAAGCCTTTGCCAGCAACCTTCCAACCCTGACTGTGGCCAAGGCTACCCCGTCCGGGCCAGGGAAGTCCTCCGGGCTGCAGGTAAGAGGTCCGCGGGGCAGGGCAGGGGGCAGACAGGAAACACCGGAAGTGTCGGTCAGGGACAGCTGAGACCCAGTGGGCAAACGTGGATGACATTCTCATCCAGTCACAGATGACAGGGCTGCAGGAGCTACCAGTGACAGTCCCTGTCAGGTGACCCTGGAACCAGGCAGAGATGGGGGAGGAAAGCGAGGTGCCGAGAACAGCCATGCTCATCAGGTGGCATCTCGTGCTCTAGAGCGGTGACGGGATGGGCAGGTGGGATGCCAGGGTCCATGAGACACCAGTCAGGTGACATCCTGGTACAGACAAGAGGGACAGATGAGGTGCCAGAACAGTCAGACAGTGTCACACGACATTCTCATCCAGTCAAGAAGATTAGTGTGATAGACAGTGCAGTGAACCGCTCGGTGCAAGCCAGGGGGGACAGCAGTCAGGAATGGGACGAGTGAAAGAAAGCCAGGTGGTGGGTGAGACACCAAGAGAGTCCCACAAGTGGGACGTGAGAGAGCAAGACCACAGTGTGTGAGATGGGCAGAGTAAGACACGCAGACAGGAGGAACAGGAGACACCATGAGAGCCTGCCTCAGACGGGGCCAGTGGGGCTGTCATCCTAGGGCAGTGTGGAACCCTGGAAGGACCACCAGAGGCAGGAGAATCCAGGGAGGCCCAGAGAGGCCATACAGAGACTGAGGGGGCGAGGAGAGAGACTGAAGCAGAGACCACCCTTCTGTCAGAGATGAGAGACGACAGAGGGGAGCACGTGAGGGAAAGGAGAGGGAAGGAGGGTCTTGAGGGTGGGCCCCACCAGAGGGACAGCACGTGGGCAGAGGCGGAGGCCCAGAGAGGCCATACAGAGACTGAGGGGGCGAGGAGAGAGACTGAAGCAGAGACCACCCTTCTGTCAGAGATGAGAGACGACAGAGGGGAGCACGTGAGGGAAAGGAGAGGGAAGGAGGGTCTTGAGGGTGGGCCCCACCAGAGGGACAGCACGTGGGCAGAGGCGGAGAGGAGAGACTGGAGGGAGAGAGGGAAGCCAGGTTTGAGGGGAGGGACTACAGAGCCAGGCATTGTGGGGACAAAAGTCACTGATAGGAAAGAGGGACAGACACTAGAAGGCAGACAGGCACAAGGATGACCCCTGGGGACACAGGGGTCAAGGTGTGTGGAGTCAGTGGCCGGGCCTGCTCCTTCCCCATCTCTTCTCATAGCCTAGCCGGGAGCTGCACCCGGACCCACCTGGGTGAGATGCCTGCTTCTTGCTCCACCTTTGTCCCAGATTGGAGGGGGAAAGGGGGCCACGGAATCAAGGAAAGGCCTCCCCATTGTTAACAACTCTCTCTCCTCCTCAGTATGATAGCAAGTTGAGCAGCCTGAAGAAACCACTCACACTTCAGCCCAGCAAGGAAGCCTGGTGAGTTGATCTTGTCCTTACTCCAGCCCTTTCTGATATTTCATTTACTTCAGCACCTTCTCAGAGGCCAGAGAGGGCTGTCAGGACCACCATTCAAAAGTCAGGTTCTGATTACAACCATCAGCCCTACCTCTTGTTAGTGTTTTAGGGCAATACTTTTCCCCTCAGAGATCCTCAGTTTGCCCCTCTGGAAAATGGACTGGTAGTAATATTCCTCCAACAGACTCTTGATCAAAAGGGGGGGAGAATGAGGAACAAAACTTTACATTTTCCTGGAATCTGGAATTTCTGGAACCCTTGAAGCTAAACAAACCCTTCTGAAACCATTACCCTGAGATCTTTAAACCATTGACCAAACATAAAAAATCTCTGAAGATGTCTTTAAACCAAATACTGAAGTAGTAAAGAATGTCTGCCTAGATGGTAGATCGAGTCGCCTGTAAATGAAGGCATTGACAGCAGCAACTTGAAAGATGAGAACGGAAACCTGGGGGCCTGGGGACAGGGAACGTAAGCGCACCAGGGAGGGTTAATTTGGCGAAGAAGGATGAGAATGAATGGGTCACACAGCTTAAGTCATTGAACTCTCCATGTGGCATTGCTGTGGATATTTTCAGCACCTTGTTTTATTTGTTTTAATGGTGGTGATACTAGCGGTGGCACCGTTGAGGATCTAAGGAGACCGGTAAAGAGCATTCCTGTGGCCCCACTCGGGTGCCAGCTCAGCATAGCAGGGACTTGGCCCCTCAGCATCTGAAACAGGGCTGCGTGTCACCAGTGCCTGCTTTCCTTGAGTCAGCGCGGGTGGGAGTGTAGGAATAAAGGGCCTTACGTTGGGCACATGGGGATCGGGCATGGGGGACACATTTTGGAGACTGTAACGGATAGATGTGTATTCTGAGGGTTAAAAACGAATGGTTGGAGAGGTAGATGTCTGGGTGGGGATGTTTGGGTGGGTGAGTCGCTATTGGGATGAATAGTGGGTTATGTGGACAGGGATCTGCGAGGTGTATGAATTGCGAGTCTTGTGGGTGGATGGATGAATGAAGGATGGGGGCATTTTGGGATGGACAGACGGGTGATGGATGGAGGTCTGGTGAGTGGGTGGACATGAATGATTGATGTCTGGATGGGTGTTTGGGTGGATAACTGGGCGATGGATGAGTGGGTGGATGGGCGTGTACATGGAGGTCTGGTGGGTTTGTGGAGATGAATGATAGATGGATGGCTGGGTGGATGGATGGATGGATGTGGGGCTGGCTGGTGGATAGACGGTGGACAGATGGTGTTTAAATAGTTGGACAGGTAGAGTTGAGTACTTGGCAGCCCTCCAACCTCTCCTGCATTCCTTCCACTCAGAAAGCTCAAACGCAGTACTGTCTAGTCAGAACCAACTCCTAGCTGGCTCTCCGGATTTCCGAGACTGTAAATCACACAGGAGGAGATTGCTGGGCACTCTGCAGAGCCGCCGGTGGATTCGAACTGCCGGAGGAGTGTGGCCTTTGGTTCAGCAGTGCAGCCTGCCACGGACTGTGTCATCAGAACCCCACGTGTTGATAAGCACGGTGCCCAGGCCTGTGCGGGTTGCTGGGAACACAACCCTAAACCAGACAGAGCCTGCGGCCCCATGAGGTGAAAAGCTGCTGTCTCGAGAGAAGCAGGGGACAAGCACGAGACAGACGGGGCAGCTGAGGCAGACAGACAGACCTCACCGCCTGTCAGAGTGGGGAAACTGCCTCTGCCCCTCCCTGCCTGCCGCCCACCTGGGGCAAGGTGGGGACAGGCTGACCCCTGGCTGCAGTAGCCAGTATGACATAGCAGGAGTTGAGACTGGAGCGGGGCTCCCAATTCTGTCCCTTTGCAGAAGGCTTTCCCCTCTGGAGGCGAATGCCATCTGGTCTCTGAGCCTCAGTTTTCTGATCAGTGAAATGGGGATGAATGATTATGACACTCCATTTCTTACCATTGTCAGGAATTCAGTGAGGCATTGTAGACACACCCAGCAGACGTTCATCATGCATCATCCCTCCAAGCGCCCACTTCTCCTCGTTGCTGTTAAGACCTCCTGGTGTTGAGGGTCGGGATTGAATTAGTCCCCCACCTCACCACACTGCCTCTGTCTGTGTGTCCATGTCCATGTGTCTCCCCCCAAACTCTCAGCTTCCTGGAGCATTTGCACAAACATCAGGGCTCCGTCCTGCACCCCGACTACAAGACGGCCTTCCCCTCTTTCGAGGACGCTCTGTACCGCCTCCTGCCCTACCATGTCTACCAGGGCGCCCTGCCCTCCCCGACCGACTACCACAAAGGTGAGGCACACCCCAGGGTTCTCCCCACAGCCCGCTGTTGCTGCAGCCGGCCCACGCGTGCTGGGGGATTTGGAGGGTGGCAGAGGGGAGAGGGAGAGGCACTTGGCCTACCGTGCACACCACGCCCTCCATCACACTGAACTCAGCCCCAGGTGTGAGCTCCGTGGTGTGTGTGCTCAATGATACGTGCACATTTGAGTGTGTGTGCAATGCCCCGGTGCTTGTGCAATGCCCTAGGTGCGTGTGCATTGTCCCGGGTGCATGTGCAATGAGCTGGGTGTGTGTGCATTGCCTTGGGTGCTTCCTGGGTGCGTGTGCAGTGAGCTGGGTGTGTGTGCATTGCCCTGGGTGCGTGTGCAATGTACCGGGTGCTTGTACAATGCCCCAGGTTTGTGTGCATTGCCCCGGGTCCGGGTATGTGTGCAGTGCTCGGTGCTCCGTGCACTCGCCCAGCCGTGCGCCTCACACATGCGCTCAGCAGCGTGTTGGTCAAGGGCGGCCGAGCCGCGGCCCCAGGAGCCCTGCCCAGCGCAGGAGTCCATCTGCCCCAACGCCCACATCCCGGGTCCCCTCTCTCCCCGCACAGTGGACGAGGAGTTTGAGACGGTCTCCACGCAGCTGCTGAAGCGCACGCAGGCCATGCTCAACAAGTACCGCCTCCTGCTCCTGGAGGAGTCGCGGGTAAGGTTCCGCGCCACCGGCCTCTCACCAGGAGGACCCTCCCTGCCTCCTGGCCCCCACCCCTGCCAGGACGGGCAGCTCACTCACGCCTTCCCTCCACGCAGAGGGTGAGCCCCTCGGCCGAGATGGTGATGATCGACCGCATGTTCATTCAGGAGGAGAAGACCACCCTTGCCTTGGATAAACAGCTGGCTAAGGAGAAGCCAGGTATGAAAGGGGTGAGGTGGGGGGGCGGGGAGGAGGAGGGACAGCTTCCTTATGGGATGTGGAGAGGCACCACCTTTGGCTCTCCGCATTGGACCTGCTCTGACATGGGAGGGTTCAGTCCATCCACAACATGCTCTGAAATTAGTTTAGTCCCTCTGCCTACACTCACACATCCTTGTGAGCCCCCGAGGCCTGGGATAGCAGGAACCTACTGGCTTCCCCTCAAGGAGTTAGAAAAGCCCAGGAGTAGGGCTGGGATGAGGGACACACAGGCTAAGGTGGTCCTCCCAGGTGCTGATGCTCACAGGACCCTGAGAGTGGACGCCTTCTTAAATGCTTCCTCCCGTGTGGAGCAGTGGTTAGAGCTAAGGGCTGCTAGGTGACAAGTTGGCAGTTCAAAACCCCCACTTGCTCCTGGGGAGAAAAATGAGGCATTCTGCATCCAAGGAGAGTTGCTGCTCAGAACCCACCCCCCACACACACACACACACACACACATACCACCACCACCACCAGGGCAGTTCCACTCTGTACTGCAGGGTCTCTGGGCCAGAATCCACTGCACGTTGTTGAGTTTGGTTAGGAGCCTCCCAGTCCCTCAGGAGGAGAGGAGTATGGTTGAAACCAAACCACTGTGTTTCTAGAACATTTCCAGAGTCCTCACCCACATTTAGCGCCAACCTGTGCGTTCTTCCTATGGAGGCCTGTTCCCTGCTTCCTTCTCACGGGCCCAGACCTTCAGCCCTGGGCCCAACTTGTGTTGTTTTGTTTTGTTTTTAAAGTTATAATTGGTACTTAAAGGAAAACTGGGTGCAAACAAGGTGGCCGTGTGGACAGGGGACAATTCTGAGGTTTGGTGGTGAGGAGTATGGGATAGCATGGTGGTTAGGGGTGTGGCTCAGAGCCGGACCAACCACAACCCACATCCACTGCCGCCAAGCTAATTCCAGCTCCCGAGACCCTGTGGGACAGAAGTATTCCAGAGGGTTGCCAAGGCTGTGAATTTTCATGGGAGCAGACTTCCTCCTCCTTTTAAAGGACTGGCTAGTGGATTCGAACTGTCAGCCTTCTGATTAGCAACGGGATGCTACTATCAGAGCAGCAGACCACTGGGATTCAGATCCTGGCTCTGTCACTTGCTGGCTGTGTGACCTTTTGCAAGTTGTTTCACCTCTCTGTGTAGTGGGCGTCATGATGCCAGTCTTATATGCAGCCCCCTATCTGAAACCCTTGGGTCCAGGTGTCCTTTGTAACTCTTGCCATTCTAGAAAGGAATCGAGGTGCCTGGGCTGGGGCTTCTCATTTGAAGTTGGGTCAGGAGGCCACTCTGTGATCAAGCACATCCGTGTTCTTGCAGTGAAAACAGTGGTCATTCAGGCTAAATGGACATGCCAGACCAGTGGTAGCCTCACACCATTCCTCTCAGAGCAAGGGGTCCTGGTGGTGCACCAGTTAAGCAGTTAGCTGCTAACTAAAAGGGTAGCAGTCCCAGCACCCCAGGAGCTGTGCGGGAGGAAGGCGATGGCAGCCTATACCTGTAGAAACACCAGCCTAGGAGATGCTGGGAGCAGCTGTCCTCACTCTGTCACACGGGGTCACCCCGAGTCAAAAATCAATGGCACCCAACACTGCCACCTGGCAGATCAAAATTTGACACCAGTCAAACCAAATGATACTGGAAACCTTTCTTTCCTTTTTGTTATTTTTGCAATTTTTTAAAGAGAAAAGCTCCCTAGGTCTCTCTGCAAAGATTAAGACCCTGCGTTCCATTCCAAGAGCTTTTGCACTGGGGAGTGGCTGAGGACCTGAATTTTGTAGCCGCTGTAATTCACGTGGCTGTGAATGGCCCCGGGAAGCTGCTGGGGGGTGGTGCTTGTCCTCAAGTTGATTCCAACATGTGTGCAAGAGAGCTGCTCCGGAGGACACTGGCAAGGCCAGGCCTGTCTTCCGAGGTGCCTCTGGGTGGAATCAAACCACTGGTTTCTTAGCTTAGCCGTTTGTGCCGCCCAGGCACGTCCTCCCACGTGGCACAGTGTGGTTTAGCTTCCAGAGGCTCTCGGAGTTGTAATGAGGGGTTGAGCTCTGGTCTCTCATCAGAATTTGGTTAATAGAGAGGAAGCCCAGTGGTTGGTGTGCAGTTGATGCTCGGTGCACAGTTGTGGTTTTGGTGTTTTTTTTTTCTGTAATTGTGATTTGCGTGGAAGTTTACAGAGCAAATTACATTTCCTTTCAGTTATTCTTATACATTTTGTTGTGTAGCATTAATTACAATCCCCACAATGTGACAGCACTCTTCCCTCTCCCCCCCTGTGATTCTTGTCTCCTCTCATCCTTTCTTCCTCCCCTTCCCTGCATTCTGGGCTTTACCCTTGGCAAATGCCACTCTCTTGACCCTATAAGGTGAGTTATTCTAAGAGGTGTTGTTCTTGGCCATGTGATACGAATAGGCCTGTCTGTCGTTGGGCTGGAAGTTGAGGCCACAGGGGTGAGTTGTGTGCCAGGCTGGAAGGGTCAACGAGAGCCGTAATCTTAAGATGTCCCCTCCAGTTTCTGTTGGACCTGTAAGGCTGGCCGTTTTTATGCTCTTGGCCCACCTTGCCTTCTTTCTGTCCAGGGTCTGCCAGATCACTTTTAGACACTTGCCACCCCACAACCTTGACCTCACCCCCGGGTTCTTTGTCTCCTGGTTCTGCAGACGAGTATGTGTCTTCCTCGCGCTCCCTCGGCCTACCCATGGCAGCCGCCTCTTCCGAGGGCCACCGGCTCCCGGCTCACGGCGCCCCCTCGTCCTCCACGTCCGGGGCTTCGGCCCAGCCCCCTCCGCACCTGCCCACCAAGCTCGTGATCCGGCACGGCGGGGCAGGCGGCTCCCCGTCGGTGACCTGGGCCCGGGCATCGTCCTCCTTGTCCTCGTCGTCCTCCTCGTCCTCGGCCGCCTCCTCCCTGGACGCCGACGAGGACGGCCCCATGCCCTCCCGGAACCGGCCGCCCATCAAGACGTACGAGGCCCGCAGCCGCATCGGCCTCAAGCTGAAGATCAAGCAGGAGGCCGGGCTCAGCAAGGTGGTGCACAACACGGCCCTGGACCCGGT